GGATTCTCCCCACCAAAAAAATGATAAAAGCTCCAGTGCATGGATCTCTCGTAGTATGCATTTTTCCAGTTAGGCCGGCATTGAGCAACTCGCTCTGAGTCAGTGCACACAGTGGCGTCACCCGTGAAGGCTAACTCTGGTCGTTGTGAATTTTTTTGTGAAAGCAGTTTCCTTTGAACTTAGATTTTTGTGATGGCTGATTTTTTTTAATCATTTTATTTGGGGCTAATACAACTCTTATCACAATCCATACATCCATCCATTGTATGCTAAGCACATTTATACCTTTGTTGCCCCCATCATTCTCAAAACATTTGCTTTCTACTTAAGCCCTTGGTATCAGCTCCTCATTTTTCCCCTCCATCCCCACTCCATCCTCCCTCATGAGCCCTTGATAATTTATAAATTATTATTTTGTCATATCTTACAGTGTCCGGTGTCTCCCTTCACCCACTTTTCTGTTGTCCATCCTCCGGGGAGTAGGTTATACGTAGATCTCTGTAATCGGTTCCCTCTTTCCACCCCACCCTCCCTCCACTTTAATTTTTATTTTAAAATATCAATTATTGGAACCTCCAGTGACCAGTTTTAGCATTTCTTTCTTGAGCTTTTTAAGTACTCACTCAACTTGTAGTCACTAAATGTCTACATACCGAACAGTCAAAAATTACTTAAAATCAAAGATGAAAGTATAAGGAGGCAAGGAAACCAGATTAATAATAATTTAAAAAACAAAACAAAAACAGAAAACCAGAGATTGTGAAGATTGTAACTAAACTAAACTGCTAAACCTTCACTGAAAACAAAATATTATTTCAGATAAACATGTCTACGGTACCTTCGAGGGTAGTAGTTTAAAGAATACTATTAGGTAAAATCTGTTTTACCAATAACTGTATGCCCTCAGACAACTGACTTTATACTCTCAAGCGTCAGTTTTGCATTTGTAAGATGGGATGAACTATTTCCATTCTCTGAGTTGTAAAACAGGAAGCACCGTATTGGTTTCCAACAAATATTAGTTCTCTTTCCTCCTCTGGATCGTTAAACTTTTTTTCCAGGTAATGGTGTAAGACCAGTACCTTTCATGTACCCATAATTGTTTCCATTTGGAGATGAAAAATACAGTTACTTTGTGGCTTCCCACTTGGGCAACAGCTTGGATATTGGCCTTGGTAGCCGTTCTTCCATTTAGCTGTACTTGAAAACAATGAACAACTATAAGGGCTTGCTAATGTCTTAGAGTGGTGCAAAATGTTTGTGCTCTACTGCTAACCTCCAGGTTGGCACTTGGAACCCTACCCAGCGATGCACTGAGAGAAAATCTTGACAATCAAATTACTGTTGAGGCAACTCAGGAGCTATTCTCCTCTAATACATGGAACTGCTGTGAATAGGAAACAATTGGACAGCAACTACCAGTAACTGATTAAGTACAGTAGAGAAAATTAATCAAGAGTGACTTTTAGAAAGCTGTGTGCTGCTTCACACTGAAGACTAGATGTTTTGAAAAGAATTAGCTACCACCCCTTTGTTGGGTGCTGTTTTTCATTCCTGTATACGTTTGCTTTGACTCCATGTAATAACTACAAGCAGGATAGAGCGGCGGTGAACTGCTTGCAAGATTTATGCCTTCAAGTAACTTTGTTTTGTGTGATTTTTTTGTTTTTGTTTTGAGAACCTAATATGTACTAGAGATTGTTCTATTCTTTGGACATATGACAGTTCTCACAGAGCTTACATTCAAGTGAGATCTCATTGTAAGATTTGTACCTGCCTTTAAGACAATTTTATCTCCAAGGCTGGAACACTAAATACAGAATAAAATCTCCCTCTAAGCTAAAAGAATACTTTAAAAAAATATGCTTTGCTTTGCTTCAATATCTTAATCATAAATTGCCAAGAATGCTAAAATCTGAAGGGAGTAATTTTTCTTGTTTTCCTTTCTGGTCCACCAAAGAATTCCCTTTTTTTCCAGATATAGATTAAATGTATACCCCTCTTACTTGAGACTGATACTTTGTGATCAAAATTGGAACATTCAGAAATGTCTGATTATAGCACACTTTAGATGCAGCAAAGCTGATAGATCGGCTTCCCATGGGCCTTGATGGCCAGTGACTTCCCTTCTAATCTGAGCGCCCCGTCTCTCAGCAGGTGTCTTTTAATTACAAATGACAGAAGATGCTCCATGCTTCTTGTAAATATATCCCTCATTTCAAAAGCAAAACCACAAATTTTAAGAGTTTCTTATATAATAACCTTAACAAGCTATTATATTAAATATCTTTATAACTTTTTGTGGTTTTAGTGGAAGTTTACATAGCAAAATAGATTGATATTTAGTAATTTCTACACAAATTATTCAGTGGCATAGGTTACATTTGAACAATCTGTCAATATTCTCACTATTTCCATTTTGATTATACCATTTGCTTTCATCTACTTTCCTTCTCCTTCCTTCCCCTCTTCATCTTCTCATTGTAAATATTGACTATTAGGTTTCCTAGAGATCACTTAAGGGAACATAAGACTCAGGGGTAATGTTTTATATATAAAGAGTTTTATTGGGACATAATCAAAATATATTACAATATAATAGTTCAATCATATCAAGAAGAGTTGTACAATCATTATCACAATCAATTTTAGAACATTTTCTTCTTTTTTTGTACTCCTTGTTATCGGTTCCCCATACCCCCCAACCTGCCCTGCCATCCCATAAATCCAGTTACTGTCTCTATATATTCACCCATCCTGGATTTCATATACCAAAAAAACAACTTTAATATAGGTCAAAAGGGAGATCAAATGATAAGATGATTTTAACCTAATTATAGAATCCACTTTTCACTGCACTCTGTAAGGTGATTCACATCCCTGGTCTATGTGCACTGGAGGTTGAATCCACATGTATTTTCCCTTCACCTTTCTTTTTTAAATGAGTCATTTTGTTCTCAAACTGAAATGTAACCTCCAAGAGTAGTAGTTTTCAAATTTATAGGTAGAAGTCTTGGGAGTTCTAGCTTCAACTGGTTCAACAGGTCCAGCTTCTCTGCTGGAGAAAAATGGGACTTTATGCTACCATAAAGAGTTACAAGAGTTACCTGTCATATAGGGTTGCTGTGAATCAAATCAACTTGATGTTTTGAGTAAGTCATTTATCAAGTATGATGTCCTTTTCCAGAGAGTGGTCTCTCCTCATAGCATTTATAAAGTACATGAAACAAAGTCTCATCAGCCTCACTTCTAAGGAGCATTCTAGTACTACTTACGAGATAGATTGGTTTGTTCTTCTGGCAGCCTATGGTACTTTCGCTATTCTTTAGTAGCCCCATGATTCAAACACATCAGTTCAGTCTTCCTTATTATGTGTCCAGGTTTCACAGGTATGTAAGGTGATTGGAAATATCAAGGCCTCTGTCAGGTTCACCTTAGTCCTCAAAATGACATCTTTACTCTTTAATACTTTAAGATGCTTTTCGTAGCAGATTTTCCACAGCAATATGTCCTTTGACTTCTTGACTGCTACTTCCATAAGCATTGTTGTAAAGCCAAGTAAAATGCAATCGCTGACAAATTCCAATTGCCATGATGTTCTTAATTGGTCCAATTGTGAAGATTTTTGCTTCTTTAATTGAGTTGTAATCCATACTGAAGACAGCCCTCTTTGCTTTCAGCAAGCAAGGTTGTATCATCTTCATAAATGTGTGTATGTGTATAATTTCACTTTTTGCTAGTAATGGACAATACTATAAAGAGCAACTGTCAAAAAAACCAAAAAATAAAAAAAGAGCAACTGTCATTTCTTTCAGAAAGTGGATATGCTCATTTTAAATGTAGATGCATATTGCCACAAACAGGAGAGTCAAGTACATATTTTTAAAATCATTCCCTTACTGTTAAAGGAAATATATTTATACACTCAGAGAATGATAGAAATCATAATTAATGCAAAAATATTATGGCACAGAACAGATGTAATAAAAAGGAGCAGCATGCTAGAGAAATTTAAACTTCCTTAGAAGTGCTGAAACTCAAGCTGCGTCTTGTGGGATAAATAGACCAAGAAGAGAAAATGAATGTTGAGGTTAGGAAAATAACAAACCAAGGGAAAATTGCAGGCCATGCACCAGCCCTGTAAAAGGTTGGCCTGGCTGATGGCAGAGCTCATGTGGGAATTAATTCTGGGTCTAGATTATGGCTAAATGCTGGGGTGCAAAGCTCGGCTGAAGCCTTTTGAGAGTGGTGCAATACTTAGAGAATCTAGTCAGAAAAATGACTGTCTCTCTGTTGTCTGTGAATGTTGTCCTAATGTGTGCCATAGTAGACACACATGCCCTGTTATAGATGAAGAAACTGGGCTTACTTCAGTGCCAGTCATCTGTGATAAATAGTTGGACCTACAATTGGAATTTCTTAGGACAATTAGTTGAACACGTTACTTACCCAATTTAATGTTTCATTGAATTAGGCAGGATACCACATACAACTAGTTTTAAAACATTTCTTAGTTGTAAGCTCTTCTCATGGTGACTCAGGCATAGCTTTTGGTTCTCCCCCTTTGGAAATTAAAGGATGTTAATTTTATCTGCTTTAAATAGCATTCTGGAATAATTGTGAGCTGTAACGTTTAATTATTTGAGTACAAATAATTATTCGGGCAGTATTGTAGCTATTGTTTTTTCTGTATTAGAGCTGTTTCCTTACATCATCTTTATACAGGTTCACGTTGTCTTAAGCATTTTGCCGTATTTGTGGCAGTTCTCTGAATACTTTAGCAAAACTCACTTCCTTGTGTTTCCGGTTGGCAAGTGTATGGCCTTGAACAAAAGCCAAAGCCCTCTGCACAACAGACAGGATCCACATTAGATTTCAATATGAGTTACATGTAATAACCAGCATTCCATTTGGACTAGCATGGTGCAGAAGTAAGAGATTCCGTAACCTCAGTTAATTTTAAAAGGACTTGGCATGCCGGCAGATTTTGAGCACTCCTAGCCTGAATCAGAGGTTTATTAATATAAGATGTTTAATTATGAGTGTTTACTTTTCTCTTTTTTTTCTTGGTAGAAAACCAGGCAAGAGCTAAGGAATCAGATTTATCAGATACCCTGAGTCCAAGCAAGGAAAAAAGCAGTGACGACACTACCGGTGAGTTTTAACCTCATTGGTCACAGATCTGCAGATGTTATTGTGACCGACCAAGCAGTTTAAGTGTACAGGGAAATATAGTTGGGGATTTTAAAGTTTGTGTTTGGAAGATCAGTGCTTCGTTTCTCAAGTCATTCTCTTAGATCTTGGGATGTTTTGTTTAAACTGCTTTCAGTGATCTCAATACAGTAGCTATATGAACTCCGATGATTTATTTTGATAATGTTAGTTTGCTGGTAGATCTGTGTATGTTTGTAATTATCTCTTTTTCCCTAATGTAGACGCCCAAATGGATGATCAAGACCTAAATGAACCCATTGCTAAAGTGTCCCTATTAAAAGGTACTTTCACTCCTTTTTATAATATTTTACATAGGACATCAGAATCACAAAATCAGTTTTATGTGTAGTGTAATTTTTAGTTGAAGGATTAGAATAGGTAATAAAGTAATAGGAACTAAAATTTAAAGTGTTATTGTTGGTGCCCAACATTTGAAATAAAAATATTTACACCATAGAATGCTTTCGAACAAATAAGTTTTTTATTAAGGGTAAAGTAGTAAGTGGTGGAATATGAAATACAACTGTTTTTTGTTTATGACCATTTTTAACCTAAGCTAAGAATGATGAAAATACTGACTTTCTTGAAAGATCCCCGGCTTGCTCTGTTATTACATGGTAAAACTTGTAAACGTCCTCATTTTCTGGTCTTCTTCATCCTACAATAATATTTCCAGGTTTATAGTACGCTCTTCTCGAAACATTGGGCCAGGAAATCTTTGTCAAGGCTAAGATAAAAATGGTACACATAACGAACTTTTTCACTTGCTTCACTTCTAAAAAGAAAGTATATTAGTTTCTTGATAGGTAGTTGTTCACAATGACATGTGTAGGAAATGAATCAGCAATAAGTACGTTTGGTGGCTTACTGATAAATCTGTAGTGGTCAGCATTCCACCTCTTATACTGCCTGATTATATATTACAAGAAAGGTTGTCATGTAACTGCTGCCTATTGGGTTGAACATGGTGGCATTAGTGGACTGGCACCAGGGCAACTCTCTGGGGTCTGAGCCACAGGAACAGTCCGTGAAGTGTTTGTGTGGAAGAGCACCCATGCTTCTGTTTGGTCTCTTAAGACCAGACCAACAGCTTTGAGTTCATGTGTGGTGGCCTTACTTTTACCCAGAATAATCCTGCAGCTGGCCTGCTGTACACAGCTGGCAGTTTGGGGTGGTTGGCAAAGAGCTTATCCACATTCTCTCAGGAATCTTTTATCTGGGCAACCTGACCTTCTCATTTCTTCTCCATGGACATTGGCAATCACATGGCTCTTTGAACCACCTTTGATCTAATTCCACAACCAGGAGAGACCCTGAGGCCTGCTGACCCAGGCAGCAGCTGCCCCCCTGTCCTTAAGTGTGATAGCATACTTCCCAGGACTCCTGCTGATTTGTGTTCTTCTCAAGTGACCTGTGCTGTTGTTGATAATGCTTGCTTGCTTTTTAGTGTCAGAATAATAAATGTAAGTTAATGGTTGCACAGTCCAGGAATCTCATCTTGGAAGCAGTATAATTATTGTATAAAAATTGTTACTGTCAACTGAAAGGAAAAAAAAGTCAGACCCCCTGGCCCTTATTGGGAACATAGAGAATAAGCACTGTACTGCTAATTGAAAGATCGATGGTTCAAACCCACCAGTTCTGCTCTGGTGAAGATGTACAGCCTCAGAAACCCTGGAAGTAGGCTAGAGAAGCAAGAGGAGAGGTAAATGGATAATGGAAACGTCTTCACACAAAAGTAGCCATTTTTTATAGTCTTTTGTACTTTAGAAATCTTTTCAGCAGTAAAATTCAATTTGATATATAGCCAGCATTTGTGTTTGTGTTTATTATACTAAACTGTATTAGTGATTTTATGTGTAGCTTGTTTTAGATTTTATTTTTAATGCCCCTGCCTACCACAATGCCAAGGATTTAGTAAAAGTTAGCTGCTTGAAAAATTAATTAATAGTAGACCCTTTAAATCAAAAGTATAATGTCATAAGAAATTAGCAAATAGCACGCTAGCTTGGAAGTTAAGAAAGACTCAAAGAGCTCTGGGTTCAAGCTCAGCTCTGTTACTTATTTGTAATGTGCCCTTAGGTCAATTACTCAATTCCTCTGTGCTTTTCTCATCAAAAACTACTTCATAGGAGTATTGTAAAGATTAAAGGAAAAATGGGTGTAGACTACAGAATACAACCTTTTCACCAGAATATTGAAGACAGCATTGGTGAGAAAAGGGTAGTGATTGATTAAAAAAGAGACTTATCTCTTGAAGATATCTGAATGGTTCTTAATTAATTGAAAAGATTGTTGATTTTTGTTTGCCAATATTTTCTCTTTTATCTTTTGGAGAAAAACAGTTGATAGTGGATGTTTTGTAGTTAGTATAGGTTGCGCCCAATTTACAACAGGGATTCTGAAGATTCTGTACTAAGTCCATCTTGATTGAAGTCGGATACTTTTAAGTTTGGTTTTGTTTTAATTATCATTATCAGTATCCTTATAAATCCAGCAGAGTTTGAACAATAAATTGTGAAAATGAACTTCTATACGTGACTCTTAAAAATAATATAAGCAAACTGCATGATGCTATTTAAAACTAACAAAAATACGTACCAAAGAATGTTCATGAAAGTGTGGGTTATCATAGTGTCCTCTGAGTTGGAGACTACCTGGATGGTCTCTACAGTGAAACCTGTACAAGCTAGTGCTCACTGGCACCGCTTTGTTTTTTTGATCTCACAAGTTTTCTACTTCTTAAAAAAATGTTTTACTTTAATTAAAATTTGTTTTAAGTTTTAAGTTTTCTGCTTTTGACAGAGTGCTTACCACCCACCTTCCTATCCTCATCAGATCATATCCATCTCCTATCATATTTCTCTTGTTCATTAAGAATCCTACCTCGTGTATTCCTTTTCCTTCTTAGACAGGTGCCCACCCTTACAGAGGTTATGACTTTTGCCGACTATTCTGTATTTGCTAATCTGTCAGGTGTTTGTTTTTTAATCCATAAGAACTACTGTAAAGTTAAACAGTTACGTAAAAGTGCCCACTATGTAGGGAATTTCCTAGCCTGACTTTTAAGTTAGGTGACAAAACAAAAAAACAAATTCCCACTCCTACACAACTTCCTCACACTGCTGTATGATTTTCACCTTTGGTTAACAAACTGTATGTAATACCTTCAACAATTGTACCTTGATTTTAATAACAGATTATTAATTTAGCCACTGACTGGATGTAAAGAAAAATCATCCCATTAGAAAGCAGTCGTGTTTTTAGAGTTTTTAAGAACAATCACATCTCCTTAATTGATAGCAGTATTTGGCTTTTTAAACCATTGTTTCTCTTTTGTAAGAGTTATATAAATTCTTAAAAATGATGTTTACTCTGGTACTTATTAGAAACACGTGGGTTATGCCTGGTTATGCTTTGTAATCTGTATAATTAGTTTCAGGAGACTGACAGAATTTTCCTCTTACAGGAAAAGCTTAAATTATTAGACCTAGTGTTAACTTTTAGAACCAAAGGAGCTACATTTAACACTCTGCCTGGTTTCTTGTACCAATGTTTTCCTCGTTAAGAATTTTCATACATCATTTTATTGGGGGCTTTTACAGCTCTTACAATCCATATATCAATTGTATCAAACACATTTGTACACACATTGCCATCATTTCAAAACATTTTCTTTCTATTTGAGCTGTTGGTATCAGCTCCTCTTTTTTCCTTCTCCCTACCCTTGTGACCCCTTGATAAATGATAGATTGTTATTATTTTCATATCTTACACTGTCCACCGCCCACACCTTCACCCAGGTTGTTTGTTCCCCTGAAAGGGTGGTGGTGGTGTAATATATCGATCATTGTGGTCTGTTGTTTTTTTTCCTTTCCTTTTGAATGAACAACTAATCTTGACTTAGAATGATAATGTACTGCTCTTCACATTAGTCATGTAAGGGATTAGTAAAATCATCTAAATAAAATAATAAATAAATAAGGTAGATTAAATGTTCACCATGGAGTATAAATAAAATTAGACTTTTTTCCTCCCTGAAATAGTATTTTCTACTAACTTATGCCATTTTTGAAAGAGCAATAAAGATGTAACTCAAATCACTGATTTCCACACACTTAAACCAACCCCCAACCCCAAAGGAAAAGAGAGAGAGAGAGAGAGAATTAAGCCTGGATGCTATCTGATTCGCATTTACTCTATTTACTTAGGTAGCTGTGCTAGAGACTGTATTGGTTTTAAAGTATTTTAAGACTGTCCTTGGGGTTTAGGTATTTCATAATCAAATTAAGGAGCTCTGATGGCACAGTGGTTACAGATTGGGCTGCTAGCTGCAAGGTCAACAGCTTGAAACCAACAGCTGCTGCGTGGGAGAATGACGGGCTCCGTCCTCTTGTAGCTTTATAGTCTTGGAAACTCACAGGGGCAGTTTCATCCTGCCCAATGGGGTTGCTATGAGTCAGCATTAACTCAGTGGAAATGAAGGGTTTTTTGTTTTGTGGAGAAGTAGTTTATGAGTTAGCTGCCAACCACAGGTCAGCAGTTTGAAAGATAAGGTTTTCTACTCCCTTAAAGTTAAAATAGTCTCCAAAATCCACTGAGGTAGTTCTACTCTATCTTTATAGTTGCTAGAGCAGAGATTTTGTTGTTATTTATTTTTAGTCAAATTGGTGATAGGAAAGATGCAAGTGATAAGAAACCACTTAAGTCAAAAGCAGAAAAGAGCTGGGTTTTGTTTGTTTGATTTGGAGGATAAGAGGGGGGAAAGGCAATTTGACTTTTGTCCTTTGTAGAAGTATTATTTGAGTTGACTCAGAAAGTGTGTAACACAGAAAACTAACCCCAAAGTGAGTAAGACTCTAGATCCAACTGCCAGCTTGGAAGACAAGTGAACACCAGGGGCACATTCTAAATGTTGGCATGGGGACACAGTCAGACTGGGAAATGCTTTAGACACCCAGCAGCGTAGCTTCTTCAACAATTCCATTGCAAGAGGATGTAGAACCCCATAGATAAAAGAGATTTAAGAGATGTGTTAACTAAAATGTAGTATGTGGACCTTAATCAATTTAGTGATGAAAGGAATTAGAGACAGTGGGACAATTTGAATTCCAATTGGTTTCTTGATATTAGTAAATTACTGTTTGTTTTGATATCCCACTGGTGTTATAACTTTTATGTATTAGTACATTCTGTTTCAGTTCTTTCTTTTAGACATTGTGTATATGTTTACAAGGAAAAAAGTTTAGATCCCCTCTCTGAAAAACAAAGTAGTAAAATA